AGCATCAATATTATCAGTAGAACCATCATTATTACCACAATCATCACCACCATTACCACCATCATTATTACCACAATCATTATCAGCAACATCATTGTCACCACCACTATCACCACCAGTTATCACCACCAATGTTATCAGTAGCACCTTTATCACCAAATCTTTACTAATAATAATAATAATAATAATAATAATAATAATAATAATAATAATAATAATAATGGGACGTAAACAATAGGAAAATACCCAAACAACACCTAGCAAACATTAATTCCTCAGTACACAATATTACAAATTTATCTATAAACATCTGTCTATTATCTCAAGTACATACACTCACCTTAATTTTAGTCATGTTATTATTAGATTATGAAAAGAGAAAACAATTTTGTAAAGGTAGATTTGTTTATAAAATAAATTAAATAAAAGGTAAGTTCGATACTCACATAGGCTGATGACGTCATAGCTCAACGTCAGTAATTGATTGCTTAAATTGCACACAAATCGTTACTAAATAAGCACGAAAATCACTCCTCATTTAAATTAAATCATCATATCATTAAATACGTTAAGTAGCTGTATGTGTATCAATATTCACTTAAATAAATTACCAGCCGACGATTTAACATGATGCTGACGATGTATTGTACAGTACTTTCAGAGTCTTTTCCTCCGTCACACTTCAGCTCATCAAAATGTAATAATATTCTTCCTGATTATTTGTTTTATTATAGACGTTCTTACAGTGACTCTTGTCAGTAATTTTATCAAATATTATTGCTCAACGAAACACAGACTGTAGACATTTTTATCTATACTCCTATACACAAGAAGAGAATGTATAAAATGTAAAATTCAGAATTATAATTAAATATAAATATGAAAGAAACCACTGTACTTTTTAAGGTTATATACAAAAAAATATGCGGTTAAAGCCTTATATTTTTTTTGCAAATTAGCCAGATGTTGACGGTCAGCAAACAAGGAAAATCAAATCAAACAAAAATCAAAGATCGATAAAATTATATCTAATTCATCCCATAATAATAATAAAAATAATAATAATAATAATAATAATAATAATAATAATAATAATAATAATAATAATAATAATAATAATAATAATAATAATAATAATAATAATAATAATAATAATAAAAAAATAAAAATAAAAATAAAAATAAAAATAATAATAATAATAATAATAATAATAATAATAATAATAATAATAATAATAATAATAATAATAATAATAATAATAATAATAATAATAATAATAATAACAATAATAATAGGAGTAGGATAGCAATAATGTTGATATAAATACATAAATTATTATTATTTGACTGGGGACTACTAAACTCCGAAAACTTCACGTGTTCGCTGCATGTTAAGGTAGTGACTGTTATGCTTGACTGACAGTGAGAGTGAGGGGTGGTATGTGTTATTGAGTCAAAGCTAGAGAGAGTGAAGTAAAGAGGGTGTGGGTGAAAGGAAACGATAAACAGTAATAAACGGGATGTAGCAAAAGAGTAAAGAGGAGGAGACTAACAGGGAGGGGGGTGAGGGAGAGAATAAGAACAATGATAAGAATGCAGAGATAGAAAGAGAGAGATAAATGAAAGGTTTGTGTAGAGAGGAGTAAAATAATACTGAAATATTAAACTAAGAATAAGGAGGGAAAGACCTCTCTCTCTCTCCCAGATTACACCGCATGATCACAACAGTGGGCTAGGCTGTAGCTCCGCCCCCTCCTCATGGCCGAAAATTCTCACCAAATAAGGAGCGCCAGTATAGTCACTAGGCGGGCGATACGTTTGCCTGGCGATACTCCTTTAACCCCTTACCATTATTACGCCATAGTAAACGGTTGGTGCTGACTGTTGCTCATGTTGACATTGGTTATTATGATACAAGAAATTTTTGGAGGTGCCTCAGGTGATGATTAATGGAAGCAGGTATAAGGTGAGTAATCGTTTGTCTGACTGAGCTTCCATTACAGACTACCATTACGGGGTTTAGGGAAACGTCACGCGTAATTTGACTGCTCGAGCTGGTGATGAGTCAGCCTAGATAATTACGTCAGTCCAGGATTTCCAAGAAGGAAAACGCCTGGGAACTAGGAGCAAGAGAAAACGCGTTTTCTGTTAGTTATTGACGGGGTAACTAAAATGAGTCATACAAACAGACCGAAACACGAGCGTACACACATGTCCAAATTTGTATGTGCTGTCTTTTGGTGCTCAAAGGTCTGGTCACTTATATACGTTTACATTAGTTCAATATGTATAAAGACGCTGCAGGTATATACAATATACTGTACATAGACAATGGGGGTATATACAATAATTTACACATGCACATAAACTCTCTCTCGTCCGTCCATATCAACTCATTCACATTACAATCTCACACACGTATACAATGAACAATATCTCATACAGACACACAGGTACAGTCTCACCCAGAAGTTGGTTAACTCTCCCAGCCAGCTATTGCTGCACTGCCTGCTTCAGACATTTACTTTATTTACTTTTATCCTCTTCGCCACTGATCGGCTTGTTAGCCGCTTGGGCGATCGGTCACGACTCTTTTCCTTTATATTCTTCACCAAAAGGTCGGCTCGCTAGCCGCCCGGGCGATCGGTCACGTCTCTGTCACGCACTGTTGGCAAATACTGGGCATGCACCGGCTCCTGAATGTACCTGAACCCGCTCCAGTGTTGGTCAAGTCTTCTCTTGAAAGAGCTCACACTCGGTGCCGTCACAACACTTTCTGGTAGATTGTTCCAAGAGTTTACAACCCTCACTCCGAAAAAGTTTGCCCTCACGGTTTTCCGGACTTGCGGCTTCTTCAATCTTGAGCTGTGACCCCTTGTGGGGCGAGCGTCCGCCAGCTCCAAGTAAGGACACTCAACTGAGTAGTGCCCCCTGAGATGCTTATAAACCTCAACTAGGTCCCCCCTTGCCCGTCTGTAGTATAAGCTAGGCAAGTTCAGGCGCTCCAATCTCGCAGGGTAGCTGAGATGCCGAAGTGCAGGCACCAGCTTGGTGGCCCTCCTTTGAACATTTTCAACCAACTGACAGTCCCTAGCATATCTCGGGGACCAGATGGGGTGACAGTACTCCAGATGGGGAAGCACTTCACTCCTGAAGATCGTCACGAGGGACGGACCGTCTAGATATCTGAACGACCTTCTTATAAGACCCAATAATTTATTTGCCTGATTTACCTTCTTCTCACAATGGCCCGAGAACTTCAGCTCATTGTCAACATACACACCTAGGTCCTTCTCACACACAGTCTCAACTAGTACATTTTCTTCATCCCGTTGGGACATATGGTACGCCTCCTTACCGTTGGTACGCCCCAGGTGCATCCTCTTACACTTCGTGACATTGAATCTCAGCAGCCATTCCTTCGACCATTCCTGGAGCCCACAGAGGTCCTTCTGCAGCTCTTCACAGTCCGCTTGGTTCTTAATTTCCCGAAATAACTTGGCGTCATCGGCAAACATTTGTATGGAGGAGTGTACAACGTCAGGCATATCATTTATGAAACAAACAAACAACAGCGGGCCCAATACACTACCCTGCGGTACCCCACTTGTTACAGGTACAGATGACGATTTCGTGCCATTAATCACCACACATTGCTTGCGGTCATGTAGAAAGTCTTCTATCCACGCTAGGACATTTCCCCGAATTCCGTACCCTTCCAGTTTGATTTTCAGCCTTTCGTGGGGTACACTGTCGAAAGCCTTGGCAAAATCTAGGTAAATATTGTCGATATTACCACCCCGTTCTAGAATATGGGTCCAAATATCCAATACCTTGAGCAATTGTGTCAAGCAAGAGCGCCCCGGCATAAAACCGTGTTGGCAATCTTTTACAAGGTTGTTTCGTAGTAGATGTTCCATCGCTGCATCTCTGATAATACTCTCAAGTACTTTACATATTATGCTGGTCAGGCTCACCGGTCTATAGTTGTTCGTGGAGTGCCTATCGCCCTTCTTGAAGATAGGACTCACATAAGCCACTTTCCATTCACTGGGGACCATTTGTTCATCCAGGCATTTACAAAACAGAATCTTCAGGGGCTCTGCAAGCTCGTTGCACAGCTCCCTTAGCACTCTAGGATGCACCATGTCAGGTCCAGGACTCTTATGGACCTTTAGCCTGGACAGTTTATTTCTAATACCCTCTTCTGTGAACACAATGTGGGTCAGTGCTGTGTCGAACCGTCTGTCCTCAAACGCAGGAAGGTTAGTTGCATCCTCTCTTGTGAACACTGAGGAAAAGAAGCTGTTCAATGCCTCAGCTTTATCCTGGTCAGAATCTGCGTAACTACCATCTTCAAGCCTCAGTACCAACCAGAACGTGAAACCGATACGAATGAATCTAAAGGTTCGAAGTAACAGACTCAAGTTCATACATGTGAAGCAAGCAGTGCAGCAATAGCTGGCTGGGAGAGTTAACGAACTATTGGGTGAGACTGTACTCACAATTACATACATAAGTACTCATACACCGACCAAATCCACACGTAATACAAAATACTCACTCAAAGAATACGGACACGAAATAAATACTTCTCACACAAAAAAATAATACGCACGCTATCATACAAAACACTTACCCTATCACATTCCCGCATACAAATACATTTACACAAAATATTATTCACAACACTACTCACACACAAGACAATACTCCCGCAAAAAAAAAAACAATACTCACATATAAAATGATATATACAAAATATTCTAAATAAACACAATAATCATACACACAGGAATACTCACCTGAATAACACACACACACACACACACACACACACACACACACACACACGGGTTGTCAACATCAACACCAAATAAGGAGTTGGGGCCCCAGACAACGACGAGTGAATTTCAAACGTATCGACCCGCCGCGCTCTCCGTCCTAATACGCGTCTCTCTCATATATAAGCGAGCTGCATTGTTCCCGGGTCTCATTCTCCGTTGGTGTTCTTCCTGGTCGCTGCCTGAGTAATCGTCATCTCTGTTTTCACGTTAACATTGCGTGTATCGTGCTTGATCCAGACAGCGGGTAAATCAAGAACTGCCAAGAAACGATTTATCGGTACAGCGTGGTAGGTAGACTTATAATATTGCTCTTAATAGTTCAATGAGTTGGGAAACTTATGTCCTAATGAGGTGGTAAATAGAAGTGTCAATAAGTGGTAGTCCCTCCAGTCAAACTTAGGACGGTGCTGGAATACTAGTCAAGTGCTAAAAAATAACAATAATAAAAAGTAAGATTGCTAAGAAGGAATTTGTTTAATGTTATAAGTACTTTTAAGAATCATAAGCTAGCTAAGATATCTAGGAAATTTATGAATAGGAAGTAGATCAACCTTGGGACTACTATGAAAATGGAAAAAAAGTGATTAATAGGCACTAGAAAGGTATAGGAATGCGAGGAAACTACCGAGACCTAGAAAATCTCCCGAAGTTGAAGTCCTAAGAGCTGTAGATATCTTCGAATTATAAATAAGCATTATATTAGGTTAGGTTAAGTTAGCTAAAGGCTTAAAGTGATACACAGTTATAGAAATGTGTGCTTATTGTGCATTAATTAGTTGCTTGGAATGCCGTGCAAGTGATCGAAAGACATTAAGCAATTACTAAAAGGGATAGATAGTTGCTACGAGTTCTAGACCAGTGCTGTTATTTGTCAGGTGTGTTGTCTGGTGCTTAGTAATTGTTAGAATATTAAGGTAACATATACATACACACACAGGTACTTAATTATTTCCTGTCACTATTCCCTGTACAGTCGACCTTACTTAATTACTATCATCACCTAACCACCACGTTAATACTGAAGAATTTATTTTCAAGACTTTAATTGCTGAAGCCAGGCGACGACTACAATAGCATCATACGAAAAAAATATCATAGTATACCATACATTTCACTTTCTGTGATAATGAAAGAAAATTTTAAGGAGTAACCATAAAAACATTGACACTCATCCCCTAATGATCGTCTTTAGTCACCTCATCCTTATAAAACAAACTTTCTATGGATACTTATATTGTGGAACCATAAAGAAACTGAGTCAATAGTCTAATAATTGGGTGGGGGCAGCTAATCGCCTTAGGGCATTTTTAAAGTTCAGACCCTCCCCGACTCTACAGTACAAGTCACTTCACCGTCCAAGGAAAAACAATACATTAAACTTATACCTTATACCTGGATATATTATATGAATAATATGAATCACGTACCTTTTTGCGCGCACACACACACACACACACACACACATTTTAATTAAACCGAGTTGTTTCTCATTTCCTCGACAGCGTGACTCTCGTCTAGACACCATGGAGTACGCCACTACCTGTATGGTGTGTCTGTCAACCTACGGCCGTAAAAGTGCACAGCCGCTGGTGTTGCTGTGCGGCCATACTATATGTCGATGCTGTGTGACGACATTGATAAGGACTGGCCCTCGCTGCTGCCCCAAGTGTAAGAAGGAGCATTCATTCCACGCCTTCAAGAACCTGCCAGTGAACTACGACCTCCTGGCGGTAGTGGAGGAGTACACCTTGACCAGGGTAATGTTACCTGTATACATTAAAGGTATTCTCACCATATAGAAACTGTTGGGCGCGCTCTGACTTACGTCAATGTATAGATAAAGTCATCTAAGTTACTATATAAAGGACAGTGGAGCATAATACACTAATTACTGTTTTTTTATTGTGTTGATTCAGTTGGAAATATTACACACTCAGCTTTGTATTTTTTTCTTTTTGTTTAAAAAATATATCAATTTAATATTAATTAAAAAACTAGCCAGTTGAGATTTTCTGTAAAACGAATTTGACCTTTTATAAACACGTAGATCTCCAGTAAAGTAAACATAGAAGAGAATGAAAGTAAAAAAGTAAAACTCTATGAATCTACAGTGATAACTTCTGAATTAATGTTATGGGTGTGATATTTTAGTCAAATTGCTTGGTTGGGGAATAAGAGTTGGTTACCGTATCTACTGTATATAGTTTCATGTCAGCCGTGCCAATTACATTATTATTTCAATAGACACTTAACTTTATGTACGTATTAAGTTCCTATACACTCACTCGAACACACAAATATATCACCCACAAGACGGCCCTCAGATGTAACAGAGAAGACCCCATGAAGCTCGTCTAATAAGCCACTTTTATCACTACAGAAGGAGGTATGCAGCTCCCACGAGGAACAAATGCAGTACTGGTGCAGGGAGTGCCAGCAGCCTCTCTGTGGACAGTGCCTCCTCCGTGGCCACCTAGAACACGGCCATGAGGTCATCACAGCAGACGTCTCCATCCACGAACAGAAAAATGACCTAAGAAACCACGCAAATCACCTTCAAAAATTATACAGTGAAGATAAACGCAGAACCACGAGTAGATTCTTGGAAGCCATCAACAGTGTTATCCAGTTGTGTGGACGCTCTGACAGCCTCTATGAACTTAACAAAGGTGTGAACGATACCTTCTCCAAATTTATCAGCTTCTCAAATTTTGAAACTATGTCGTCGTCTAAAACCCAGCTGATGACGCTTGAATCAGAGGCGAGAGCAAAAGGTCTCTTGCAGGATGTAGACTCCGAGTTATCTGGTTTAACTGTTTCGTCTGCCTGTCATCTCGCTCCTTCTGAGGGAGCTTCTGGGTTTACCGACAAAGAGGAACCGACAATTTCTTCCAGTCAAGGAGCAGCTCCTACTGGCCTAGAGGTACCCTCACCTAACCAAGGGACAACTTCAACTAGCCAAGAGGCAGCCTCAGTTTGCCAAGAGGCAGCCTCAGTTAGCCAAGAGGCAGCTTCGGTTGGCCAAGAGGGAGCTTCAGTTAGCCAAGAGGGAGCTTCAGCTAGCCAAGAGGGAGCTTCAGCTAGCCAAGAGACAGCCTCAGTTAGCCAAGAGGCAGCCTCAGTTAGCCAAGAGGCAGCCTCAGTTAGCCAAGAGGGAGCTTCAGTTAGCCAAGAGGGAGCTTCAGCTAGCCAAGAGGGAGCTTCAGTTAGCCAAGAGGGAGCTTCAGCTAGCCAAGAGGGAGCTTCAGCTAGCCAAGAGGAAGCTTCAGCTAGCCAAGAGGAAGCTTCAGCTAGCCAAGAGGGAGCTTCAGCTAGCCAAGAGGGAGCTTCAGCTAGCCAAGAGGACACCAAACCAACGAGAGAAGTTTTAGGCGTGACTGACATTGAGGAGGGAACAGACAATGAGGACCAGCGTATGTGGCCCCTAACCTGCTGCGTTCTCGTAGATGAAGCTCGGCAGGCAACTTTATCCTGGGAGCAGGGGAAAGTCCTCCTCTCAGCCCCTAAGGACATCACGGTGGACCCCCTTGTCACGATTAAGGTAAGATCACGTAGAGAGAAATAGAAACAGTGTAGTTCATGCCAGTTCTTCTTTTACCCTGTCTAACTAAATGTTCCTCCGTATACCATGAGACAAGTGCCGAAATTTGCCGATTGTGGTAGATTTAATGTTATTTTCTCACCATAATAATCTTTTGTTCATACCCGATCATTTCTCTCCCAGTTGCCAGTGATTGAGGAGTTGATGGACAAGGAAAACCCTGAGGTGTTCCTTGAGCTGAGTGTATTGTACCGCACCCTCGGCCGTGTCCACATCAGGTTGAGGAGCCACACGCACCTGGCCAAGCAATTCCTGGCCTTGTGTATTGGCAAATTGGGTCCTTCCTTTCTCGGCTCAAAGATGATTCGAGTTGACAATAAAGACGAGGGCGGAGAGATGTTGGTGGGCGGACAGTATAAACACCCGAACCCCCAAACGAGCACATACATCTCGAGAAGACTGGTAGAGAGGAAAGCGTGGGATAACAACCCCATCGTCCACTTGAAGGAGGCGCTGGTGGTGGGGTGCAGTGGAGGATGTCCCAAGAGCGACACCGTGTTTGGCATCTGCACGAAGAACGGGACAGAGAAGACAGGAGAGAACCCGGTGTTTGGTCAGGTGGTGTCTGGTATGGAGGTGGTGAGGGCTGCTGTTTCGCATGATCCAGTGTGTGAAGTGTTCATCAGCAACTGTGGCCTCGCGGTGTAATGGCTCCCTTGGGGTATAAACAAACTAGAATGTTAAGAGGAATCCTGATGTCCCGTGTACGCCATGCCTCGCAGCCGCTGGATTTAAATCACCGTAACCTTAGTGAGGTGACATGTTAAGGTCATCAGAGTCAAAACTAAATATATCTTGAACAGCCTCAGTACTCCTCATGCTGGGCAGTCTCCACAGTGATAGCAACATCAGTGTAAAAGGCGAACACTGACCCACACCTAATCCAGATACGAACGTCCTGTGTGTATGTGTGTGTAAATTATTTCACCATTGTCAGACAAAAGCACATGTTCTCACAAACCACATTAACGGCTCAATAATTCCATCCATCTATCACAAACAAGCACAACCGCAATGTAAATATTAGTCTTGATGTTAAATAAAAACGCCCCCTACCGCTCACACACGAAGAAATTTACATTCCCTTCATGGTTTTTTACCTTATGATAATTATCCTATTTATTTGTTTCACATTCTGTAAGTTGGATTGTGTGTGAATGTAACTGAATGAAAATAAATATGAAGAAAGTTAAGTTTATCTACTAGAAATTACGAGTTAAAAAATAACCATAACTGCTTCAGCCTGGGAGAGGAAATGTCTGCCCCAGGTGAGTCAGTGGGCGCACGATTTTATTTATTTTTTATTGGGGGGGGGGGGAGACAAATTAGTAAAAGCGGTGGAAGCCTTCATAACACGAAAAGGAGGTGGTAATTTAAAAAAAAATCGTATAAGCGAATTTTCGTATTGCCAAAGTTCATGATACCTCAAATTCTGAATCCAGATCCTTAATCAGCATGTACTATGAGTACCTTTGAGTGAAGTTTAAGCAAAATTTACATCATGACCTTAATAGCCGAAACGCAAGATAGTAAATAAGTCAGGCATTTTCAGGACGATTAACTTCTTTTTTGTGTGAAGTGAAAATCAATGTGCTAGTGTGGTAAGTTAGGCTGCGGTATCGATAAAATGTCTATTCGTCTTATACGAATTTGAGCTGCAATATTTGATCATTGTAAACCATGAATAGTACTAAAAACAAGATCAGACGCCAGCCAACCTTCCACCATTACTGCACCAGGCACGGCCAACCACTAGGCTACAATTAATTATCAGTATTGTAATGTAATTATTCGGTCACTGCCAACATCAGAACAGTTGATAATACCTATAGAATTTTAATATTTTGATACTACTAGAGTATTAAAATCTTCTTTTTTTCCCTTGCCATGCCTTCTGTTTTGAAACCCATAAAGAATTTGGGTAAAGTTCCCCTTTCAGACTAACCTCGATACTAGCTGTCACTTTACCCAAATTCTTCATCATGGGTTTCGGATTATAACACTAGAACGGATAAGACTACTTTTTTCTTTGACTTTACATGTAAGAAATATCTTTGGTGACTTGCAGATTACAAATACAGTGTTACAATTACTGTACTAAAGAGTATTGGTGAAGAATAATAAGTTACTCAGCCATTACAATTCTAAGACTTTTCTTCAAAGAAGTTTCTTTCGCAAACGACCTAACCTCACATCCAAACCGACCACTGGCATATAAATATTGTTTGTAAGGGAATGCCAAAGAAAAAATGTGTCTTTGTATTGTCTAATTAAACTGTTGATTGCAACCATAAAATTCTCAAAATTCTTCAGGTGGGAACAAGCGAAATAATACCAAATACTGTACCAAACACTAAACAATATCAACATTTACACTCACAGCAGTTCCGGCTCTTGACAGCTATACCTCCAGTCAAAGTTCAACTGCCCATGTGGACTGACTAAAGAATCAGGTGTAATGGGCTGCAACGCCACCTGTTTGGAGGAAAATTTACAAGACAATTAGTACCAAGAAAACTAATGCAAGTTCAATTTTTTTTTGTCCAGAACAAGATTCAAGAATTCCTCCTCCTCCTTCTCGAAGAATCTTAAATTATAATGTAAGCTAACAAAAAATCTAAAAGCAGGAAAGTAATGTTAAATCAGGGAAAGTAATACATGTATTATAAAATGAGGTAAACTAATATTATCAAACTAGAGAAAGTACAGTAATTTTCAATCAGATAAAGTAACATAAAACCTCCCGAATTTATACACGACTCCAATAACTCGGCTATAAGTTACGTGGCATAAACTAATTCTACTTCACACAAATAAACGTTCCCTAAAAAAAAATAATATCATTGTTGTTCTTGAGGAACACTTGGTACTCACCACCGATAATTGGATTACAGAGGGCAGCTTTCAGTGGGAGAAGAATCCCTGAAGAGATCACAAACTGTAATGATAAAATTTGCCCATTAACACTGTATGAAACTCTGGGCAGGTTCGCGGCACCAATATCCTGATTGGTGCAAAACACGGTGTTGGTGAACTGGCAAACGACTGTTCCAGGCCCTAATAATCGTATCAACAGTTGTTTACGGCAGCCAGACGTACGAGGTAAAATTTCCCACTCCCACGTCCTGTCTTCCATAAATATGACGCTATAGATACGTAAATATATTTATTTATAGATAGATAGCGGTTACATACGTATATATAGATAGTGAATATTTTAATCGTATTATCTGTTGTAGTTATATCAAGGCGTACACTGGCGGCCAAACTCAGTTGCGGGCCCCTGCAGGATAAATTTTGGGCCCACTTTCTTAACACAAAATTCATAGAATGGCGCTTGTTAATCTATTAACTGAATGCAGAATGTAAAAACGTCACAGAAGATTTAAGAACGTAATTCTCACTAGTATGGCAAGAGTTCAAGCCTCAGCCTGGATACAGGCGAAGTGTGACCTACCAAACATCACAAGTTTCCCCTCCTGTACTAACACTGGATAGAGCGCCCAAACGGCTAGTAAGCTGATATAGTGGCAAAAATTATATAAAAAAGGTCGAGTGCTTTTGTGTTTGGTGAAAAGCATGGTTGCCGGATCAAAAACTGAACATATTTCTTTCATTTCCTCTTTGAACATAGAACAAAAGGACACTATGTGACTTGGAAATCCACTCCTTAGACGATCTGAAACTGTACACATTTGATAAAAATGCAGGTGAGGATCCCGGGATATCAAAAAGGGGGGGGGGAGGGGCAAGAAGTTTTGGGTGGGGGAACATGGAGAGCAAAGCGAGCCTACCCAGCTGGGGGATTTGGGGGGTTGGGGGGGCACTGAATGCCCCCCCCACCAGAATTTTTTTTTAAATCTGACCAACATCATGGGCATTTTGAACACATGTGCACTTGATATTAGGAGTTATTCTGAGGTCAATAGTCATTACTTTTTACTAGACAAAAATGCTCGAGTACAATACTGCATTACAGAAAAAGTTTTGGATGGAATTTTCTGATGAAAAGGGGGGTCTGGACACCCCCTGGATCAGCCCTTGAGATTCTCATCAGTGGCTTTATCCATGGTTATTGTGAGATATTGAGGTGTTAAGTGATGTTTAAGTTAGGTAGTGCATTCTAGGAACAATTCCCAACAAAATAACAGTGACTTTCTGCAGTAGTTTTTACATTGGTCTATCTATCAGAAATGGTGACAAAAAAATTAAGGACATTAAAAGACCACTGTAATTTTACATTAATTATTTTAAACAAAATACAGGATTTCATTAATTGAAAGTCTAAGCAGATATCACAGGAAATATATTACACATTGTCTGGCTGTTACTGTGATTGAACTGGTAAATATGAGATTAAATAAACTAATCTTAAGTGAACAATATGCTTTTGCTGAAAATCTATGTTTATTATGGCACAACTTCTGTTCAATACTCTACTCTAATTGGCTATGAAAACTGACCAAAATAAAAACTAATAACATCAGCAAGACACAGTTATGATATAAACTGAATATGTACAACTGGTTTCTACATTCTGTATGTTAATTCCAAATGGCTTAATTATGATTATACAATGAAGTAATCCATATGAACACACTGAAGACAATTAAGATATATTCAGATGTTAGTCAGCAATACAAATAGTATCATTTCCATACCTGAATTTCTAGTTAAATTATTTGAAATTGTCATGGAAGATGAGAAACTTAATCTTTACTCATCTAAACATAAGCTGACTAGAATATTCATATTCAATTGCATATATATTTTTGACTGTATTGTACAGTGTATTACTGTATATATACAGTACCTGTACTGTACTTCAAAAGGTTAGTTGCATTTTGCTGAAATGCAGTAGTTCATGTTGTTCTTTAAAAAAAGGTGTTCAGTGTATGTACATAATCATTATCCACCCATAGCAATCCACTATTTGATGAAGGCTTCCCCAACTTGGCTATACAATATTCTGTCTTGGGACAACAAGTACCTCCATTGGGCAGTCTTTTATTAATTTGCCTCTTTTCCACTTTGCATCAAGTGGCAGGTAGGGAAATTTTTCTAGAGATTTTAATTACTATCTCCATACCATATGTAGTACTATATAAGTAGGGTGTTAATTTCAATATTGACCAAACTGTTGATAACTGTCAAATATTGGTCCAACCAGTATGCAGCCAACACCCTGCCAGTAGCTTTTAAGTCTTCAAACCTCATGTTTTACCAACCCAGTAACAGAGATTAACAAATTTACCATTACATCGAGTAAAACTGACAACACTTTTAATACTAAAGATATTACACCGTTAGTACAGTACTGTGTAAAGAGACAAGAGGGTTCCCTATCAAGTACACATTTGAAAGAAAGTACAAGAGAGGAGAAACTTTTATAAATTATAAGAAATGTACATTGTGTGGTAAAAGCCTTCATAACTGAAGTGAAAATACGTCCAATACATGAAAAGTGGAGTGAAACCCTCAATAGGCACAACTGGATCTAAAGAGGATAAAACTAAATTCCAATTACTGTATACATGTCCACTTATTGACAGGAGTTGGGTCATACAAAATTAAGGAGAGAGACAGAGAAGGTTATTACTTTATGGCTTCTCACATATGTAGGGCCCTGATAATATTAAGCACTGAGAAAGAAGTGTTACTTGAGAGGTATTGTAGTATGAAGTTTACACTAATACATACATGATACCATCTCCACACCAGCTTGTAAAAACCACAACTGATATATCCACAGTCACTGGGCCATCCTTTCCCCTTCAGTCCTCCATAAAAGGGGAAAATAATAGTACTTGAAGGAAACCATTATGACGAAACATGGGACCAAGGAAGAGAAATCAATGGCAGCTTGGGCAACACTTTTACCTTATCCCTTACTAGTTCAGTACTGTAATGTATGTTCTTATACTGTACCTGTATGACCCAAGAATATCAATCAAATACAATACTGCACTTCCCAAAGTTCCCTTTACAATACAGATATGGAATTTATGGTCAAAGTAAGTGTTCCTTGCTTAACAAAATAATGGAGATAACCTTACAGCTGTATTTAATAGATGATGCTGTTACTGTGTACTGCTTTGAGAACATAAGTTGTGAATCTAGTCTTTATATTTCATCTGTGCATAAAAAGAACAGGAGAGTTTAATGCCAGTGGGAAATGAAACAAAAGGAAGAGACAGGAAACAATCAAGAGAACTGAACACAAAAGGCTTGATAATTTGAGACAAGGAAATTTATTTGTTTGAATATGGAGACTGGATGAGGAGAAATTATTAAAAGAAACAAGGCATAGGGTTAGAAGTTTGAATGCTTGAGTACAATACAGTATAAAATAAAAATATAAATTTGCATGTGATAATACTCCAATCAATATCGAGTCAGGATTGTTTCTCAAATGTGTAAAGAACTTTTACGGCGGATGCTGGATTATCAAATGTAACTCCCGGTTAAGAGCAATACTGTACAGCGTGAACTTAAATTAAATTTTTTTTCTTCAATTTTGCTTTTTACTATTATGTTGTCTTAAAGATACAGTATAGAGTACATGAAAGACTGGACAGCTGATGGGGCGTGGGCAGAAAACATTGATCATCTATGTAGAAGTAAAAGAGAACATCTAGAAGGACGTGGTAGATACAGAGGAAGTAGAACACTATTGGCACTAGCGAAGTTGAGAATAAGGACAAAGAGAATATCAAGTTAGGTGTAAATTGGCCAGAACCTCTTCAGTGCTCAGCTGGTCAATCTAGACAGGTCATAAAATGTTAGAATTTGCAAATACAATCTCATCCAAGATCTTGTGAAGAACTTCCTTATCAAGTACAGTACCATCGAAATTAAATATCACAGGTGATTATAAAATTGAGAACTTATTGTCCTTATAAAAATTATGTCTACAGACGGGTAGAAAGAGATAAACAGAATACCTGGGCAATGTTCTACATATTCATCAGTCTCATCACTCCATGTTGAGATGACAGTACAGTATAGTGAAGGTCACATACTTCAGGGTATAGCATATTATAGCGAAAGTAGTACAGTATACTTCAGAGTAGTTGATAGTGAAGGTCACATGCTGAAGACAGCATAATTCAGGAAGAAAAGGCTTATGATATTATGACAATAAACAAGAACCATATGGCTACTGTCAAGATTATAATTATTGTACCAAGTTAATTATACTGTACCTGTGCAGTAGTTCAACACTCATAATTTCAAGATTTACTTCACTCCAATTTCATAACTTTACAACTGTAAGAATCTACCTGGCTATATCTTTAAACTCTGCTACATTGTACTACCAAACTTGAAAAAAAAATGCACCTTAAATCTGGAGTTATATACAGTACGTAAATGTACTTGCCGTGACATATACTGCCTTGGATCTTTAATTGAATACTGTATGTAGAAAAATGACATGATCAACAATGGTGGGAGTACAAGGTGGCTTTTCTGGAAGCACCAATGACACAGGGTAAAGTTTTCTCCACTATACAACAATGTAACTGGGAAATGTGGACACAATTTGGTCAATATATTAACTGCTATGAAATTTTAAGACTTCACTCATTACTGTAAATGTAAATTCTGGGAAAATTTACCGATAGAAAATGAACCTATCTGAATGGAAACTGTTTTGCTCAGAACAAGTTAGCAATGTCAAAATATTTTTCAGTTATAATAACAGCAATTTCCTCATTGTATTCTTTGTAATATAATGATACCTGCACTTCTCAGCATTCACCAACACTGTAATGATTAAATTGAACATGAAACATGAGTAACTAACATCAAGACCTTGTGTAGACAACACCTACACCAACACTTTAGTTGGTTAATATATATTTCACAAGTTCATCTTTCTAACTGGACATTTAAAGACAAGATGATGAAACAGTTAAGACATTCTTACCCACAAGTTTACCAAGTACAACCTTCTGTGAATAATTAAACTGTAACAAGTTCCTGGCTTTGATCTTCTTCCATATACAACAGTTGATTAGTATGGATGTTGTTTGGTGATGTGCTAGCTACGGACGGGAGCGAGGAGCCGTGGTAAGAGGGACCTGCCAAGGAAAAAATGGAATTAAAAATAATTCACTCGGTAAATATCTGATCAAATTAACACATACGGGTACTGTAAGTGTACACAAACCTGATGTATGGAGGTGATACATTACTATGTCATTTTTATAGTACTCACACTGAAGATAAATTAAATCATTTGAAATTATGATCTACAGTTAATAGTTTATACCAAGATATGTATCCTATTTCCACTTCATATGGTTAAATTAATATTAACAATTCCTGTACAACAACCAATTCAATTTCTTGATGCCATATCCACAGTTTTGTAGGGTGGTAATCCCCAAATAAAGTGCATTAGCCATGTTGGCAAGAGCTGTCACTGAGGAGGGCCTCCTTATAAATACTGCCTTTGAAATATAACCCAAGAGATACATTAACCTGCCTTTTAATATATATTATTGTCTCCAAACTTCATATCCATTAAATCAATTCAGTTCTACTTCATCCAAAGCATAAGTCTGTGCCTAAAACACCTGTAAAGTATGTACCCGGTACTTTAGTAAGTTACTTAAATAAAGACAAACTACAATACAGTACAGCACTTTAAAGCTACAAGAAGTTTTCTTCCTCGTGTAACCTAATTTATAACTATGTTGGATACGTTATGCATCTGCTTCCGTAGGCTGGATACTTAATAAAAATTACTATACAGTACTGGGAAAACTATAGTGTAAACTTCCACATCCTCAGTTTCTGTCTGTCCAGGTAAGACCACAAACAACAGTATACTTCATACTATTCTTCATACGTTACTGGCTTATGGTCGAGTTCATTACAAAAGATACTTCATGGAATGAAAGGGTGAATAGAGGCAATATTATGGTAACCTATGTGTCCAAGTCTCATCATAAAAAAAATGTAAACTAATGAAAAATGAAGTCATGTTTACACCAATGTACAAGACAAGCGAATTACAGTACATATAAGAATCATGAGTCTACATATTCTTGAGAGTAGTGTAGATTATCATGAGCCTGAGATACACATGTTAATCTGGACTGTACCTCCTGTAGGCTCTGTAGAAACTAGCTAGCCTACAAAAAACAGTTACAAGATCTTCTTCAATTCACGACGAATGTTCGAAGAAATGCTAAGTTTTGAGGAACTTCAATTACCAAGTTTATTGAATACTATACTGTATACTAATTATCAGTAAGTTTATGTAGAGCAATGACACTCTTTGGCAGATAGTTCCAAGAGTTCACAACTCTAACTCCGAAAAAGTTACCCCTCACAGTTTTCTGGGCTAGTGGCTTCTTCAACCTTGAGCTGTGACCCCTTGTAGGGCGAGCGTCCGCCAGCTCCAGGTAAGGGCACTCGACTGAGTGCTTGTACACCTCAATTAGGTTCCCCCTTGCCCATCTGTGGTACTGTATAAGCTAGGCAATTTCAGGCACTCTAGTCTCTCAGGGTAGCTGAGGGGCCACAGTGCAAGCACCAGTCTGGTGGCCCTCCTTTGGACATTTTCAATCAACTGACCGTCCCTAGCATATCTCGGGGACCAGATGGGGTGACAGTACTCCAGATGGAAAAGCACTTCACTCTTGAAGATCGTTACGAGGGACGGACCGTCTAGATATCTGAATGACCTTCTTATAAGACCTAATAATTTAGTTGCCTGATTTACCTTACTTGTCTAAAATTTATATTTTCATTAAAGAACAATCCTGCCTTATATCCCAAGAGGTTCTGTGAATCTTCTGTTTGTATAATTTTGCAAGAGTAAAAGATTTTCTTTTTTGCCATTACCTACTACGTATTAAGGTTGTTTTATTGTCGGGCCTTAAAAACTAATATACTGTATCAGGGAAGACCAAGACCAACAGAAGATTCTGTTTGAACCTTTAATTATGAATATGGAAATAGAAGATATGATAAAGATTTTAATTAATGTACAGTTATTGTTGTGAAAGAATATACAGTAGATAGATTTTCCATATACTGTGTTATATACTGTACCCTGTTATGATAAACTGCAAAGAAAGGATGCGAGCATAAGCCAAATAAGCACATATACTGTATGTCCCTATATTTCTGCTCTGAGTACATGACTGTGAAGAAAAGCCAAGTTACACGTACTTAGAAATTAGATGACAGATATTTACATGGGAAGACTACACTACTGTATGTATAACAGGGTTAAAATTAAGTACAGTATTCTTGAAGAGATAAAAGGCAAGAAGTAGTAGTGAGGGGTAGCAGTGTGTTGTGATGAGGGACAAGCAAGCTACCTGGCAGGCAACAGCACGGCGAGTAGCTACGTGGAGCTAGGCAGCTACGATGACCGCATACCTGGCGGTCTATGGTCTGTATCTCTTGCAGCAGGGCCGCGGGGGATACCGCCCCGTCCTCCACCCTTCAGCCGTGGCACCGACTTTGAGCGAGTCTTACCTCGGCCCCCACTGTAACATGCCATGGTCAACAAACCATGCTTGCCAACAAAGCTGACTCCTCCATATAACTAGACTCATGAATTATTGTATTCATTCCCCATATAAAGTGTACATGCCATAATTTTAAGTGGTTGATCTTAAAAGTTTTCCTCATATGCATCACACTTTATATGGCAAATGGGGAACAATTTTTAATGAAAAATTTTGTGTGATAGTATTTAGCCATAGAGATCAAACTACAGTACTGTACTTGATAACATTACGTGCAAGTTATTCATTAAATATCTACCTACACTAATGGAAAAAATTACTGTCCTGGTGTTTTACTAGAAAGTTGGGAAGCTGATGCCACAACTGGAAGGTTGTATGAGTGCTATGAGCTTAGTTTCCCTGCTATATTATTATAGAAATTATGGATAAATTCAATACACTGTACTGAAAATGTATATTCCACATGGCATTGCTATCCACTTTCAAAAAAACATTAAAAGTGTTATCCAATTGGCAACAAAAGACAGAGGTATGTTCCTTCACCTTGTGTCAGCAGCTGTAAGTAATAATGAATGGATACATGCAGAGGTAACTTCCAGATATTATTCAGATTAACTTAACTTATCCAATACAGTAAATATATATGTTGACTATTCCACACGACTTTAAGTGAGAGCTAAAAACGTACACAAATTTTAGTGTCAAAGATTTTTTTATCACTTCAGCCACACAGTCATCATCATTTTTGCATATACTAATGTAAATAAATTTTGATACCAATTTAATAATTATTGGAACTATATCTTATAAGAAGAATTCAATGCACAAATGGTCAACTTATCCTTTGATAAATGTATCATTACTTGATTCAAGTACTCGTTGAGCACAGTATAATCAAAACTGGCACAGCACAGGGGCAACCCTTAGAGCTGGTGCTTTACAAAAGTTCTTAGTGACCATATTATCCCTAATAATTATACCTTTAATCTTAGTAGTGACTATAGGCAAGTGTGAATGGACCAAGATGTAGTAATCAAGATTTTTTTTAATTATATTTTTAGTAACTCTATTACCCATTGAAAATACACATCTCTTGAGACCTGGGTCGGCTCAATACTAATTAAGAACTTTTAGTATGTTTCTTCATGTACAGAAACTGTATAGTATATCTTTATATGAGCTTCAGGAATAATTAATTCTGATCTTTCATTTACAGCAAACATTCTTAATTACATTACAGTGTACTAATTATAAATAACTTCATAAGTGGGAACTGATCAGGTTTTTATATTACCATCAGGTCTCTTAAATATCATAAATTAAAACAAAAGAATTTAGATAAAATTTATACTAAAATTACCTGAAGATGTTTCCAATATACAGTACAGTACATATAATCATACTTTGAAGTTGACTTCACAGACAATTTTCAAAAAATTGCAAGTTGAAGGATGACTGAGTGAAAACTGGTCATGACTACAGCTCAATCAAAATAGTTTGAAACTGTATAGTCCTTTATATTCTTTATATTTTAAGAATTAACACTATACATAGTCATTCTTACTTAATGATCAAAATTACTAGAAAACTTAACTAGTAAACTACAAAAGATAATGTGTAGATATTGATCAAAATTACTAGAAAACTTAACTAGTAAACTACAAAAGATAATGTGTAGATATAATACTAAACTAATAACCATTTTTGTGAATACTGTACAGTATATATGAAACTCTGAGCAAAATCCTCGACTGGCAATTTAAATGAGAATACAGTAGAGTATCACCTGCTAACACAACACTAAAGGTTATGAGGATGAATTGGTCATTAAGAGTAAATAGTATATATAATATTAATGGTTTAAAATTTAACAACTGTTGAGTACAGTCCAGTATTATGTTTGAATAAATTAAGATATTCACTTAGAAAGGACGACACTTGTTTGAATGAGGGATCAAGAAAGTTCTGCATTATAAAGTACACAACATCTACACATGCTTGTGCCTTCATGGCCATAATGCTGAAGGACAGGAATACAATAATGTTTAGAGAACAATCAGTGCATGCTTATATAATGGCATTACTGTACTTGTTAGCATATCTAAATCTTCTTAACACACAATACTGGAACATGAAAAATTAATGATATTTCAATTGTTCTTTTTCTCTTTAAGTGCACTTGATTTTAAAAAGCAAAGATGACAGAGATTGGTGCCAGTTTGAGACTTAGTAGGCTAAATGAAATACTGTATTGTACATATCTGTTAGAAGTGCTTGTGGTGGCCTACAATCAACTGTGACAAACTAGAAAATCTGTAGGACTACTCAACATACGTCTTAAAGGAAAAGAAGTTTAAGGAAAATGTGTAAATAACAGCAGCTACAGTACAGTATTTACATTGTTGTCAAGAATGCAAAAGCAAGAGCAGTGAAGAACATCATGTGTTACAACTTTACCCTTGCTTGCCTGCATGACAAATCCTTAGGATGTGTGTCTGTCACTGAGTGTGTCCATTTTTGTATCAGTGTAAGTCAGTATAAAGTCAAATATGAACAGTTACCTTTCCAATATATTTTTTCTCCAACTGTCTGTTCATGGTCATATAATACATACAGTAAAGGTCTACAGATGAGTAAATATGAAAGTCTGCCAATATCTAATTTTGAAATGCTGTACTACATATAGTATGATCTTATTGACCTATCAACCTGCTGTATCCTGAAATTAAACAGTATACCCTGTACCTCCCTATCACCACTAAGTAAACTGATTGATCATACCTTCTACCAGTAGCAACACCTGGTGACATACTCTTGCTCTTCACTGGTATCTTCCTCATACGTTGAACCTCAGACTCATTCCTCTCATCCCAGCTATTACGCCTCCCGCCACTGCTTCCTCCTGATGTCGTTAGGTCTGTCATGCTGGAGGCAGTCAAATACCATATTTATCATGTGGACATACATGGGGTAACTATTTGTTTGGTGGTGACAAAACTTCCTCCATAAAATATACAATGGTACTACATAAAACACATTTCAACAATGGAACTACCTAGTTTGAGTTATCACCTTTTTCCAATGCGTCTTTTCTCAAGTTCCTTGTTTATCGAGTCTGGGAGACGGTGATGACGCTGTGATGACTCTCGTGATGTTCCTGCACCACGACCCCTACTTGAGGGACCCGAGTCACTATCCTGGTGAGTATTATACTTACTATCAATGACAAGATCATTAAAGAGTAATGTACTGTATAAACTAAAATAATGTACTGAAATGTATACCTGTACAACTTAATTAATATATTACTTTTTTAATCAGAAATTGGGTAATGCCTCACCTTTCCTCTGCTGTTGTTCAAAGGATTTATCCACACTTGTGAAGATGATGAGGACGGTAGGGAACGTGACCTAAAGGAAGGTGTATTAGAAACTCTGGAACTTCCACCACTCATCATGTTGAAATTTCCAGTCATTGAGGCATTAAGCAGTTCCTCGCCACTTATAGCAGGCTGAGCGGGCACAATAGGTGAACGACAACACACACTGACAAGAGAATATGAAGGAGGAAGACTGTGATGATGAGGGAATATTGAAAAAGAAAGTAAAGCTCTTACAAACACAGGCTGTAGACATAACGGAAGAGGATTATTATAAAACAGTAGAAATACAAGAGTACGAAGAAAATGCAAAGAATCTGCCCTCACAGCGTGATACTCCAGGATAGTTGTAGGAGTAAAATGGTTGCTGTAGTATGGTGGCCACTGGAGCAAGTTAATCACTAAAATACGATCAGTAAATAAGAGGTGGTCCTAGAAATCAAGTTGATTTTGGTGTACTGTGCTCACTGACAAAAAGCAGTCTCTAGATTAAGGTGGTAGTTATGGCATATATGTGGTCCATGGTTACAAGTAAGGTGGAGATTTGACAACTGAGGTTATTCTGAGGTTATTCTGAGCTTCAGAAAATTTTGTAAGGACTGGACATAAATGTGTATATTAAGGGCATTAATTTCCACTGACTTTGATCGTGACTGAAATAAGGCTGTTTGGAATATGGTGGTCACTGTCAAATAACTGAGGATACTTCCTAGCATGGGGTCAAGTTTTGAAAAAGTGAGCAAAGTACTGGAAGGCCTGATGGTTAACGGTAAAGAAAAAGGAGCCAATAAAAATAAATAAATATTCAGACACCTGAATTTATGAACTACAGTAATCTATATTACACCACAAGAATTATATCTTATCTGAGATAATGAGAGAACAAAAAACAGTACTGTACTGTATGTACTTTACATAAATCAAACACATACATTTCCCCTAACTGGTATACACACACACACACACACACTTCCTTATACTATATGTACAGGTTATATTTACAACACAGTACGGTAAGTTAGGAAGTGCTGTAAGTGATATACATTTTCAATAATTTTCTCTGGGATGACTACACTAAATACATTATAATTGGGGATGTAGATAATAATTTATAATTATCATTGTGTAAACAGGTACACATTTAATGTAAACAGCCCCATTCATCAAGCAGGAGAATATTTTGGAGTGACTCATGTACTGTTCATAAAATTCAACATCCTGTGTTCTTGGGGTAGTAAAACTATCACCATTACATTTATCTTTGCTTTAACCCTTTCACTATGAGGATGCCACTTCTAATATTTAATTTGGCTAATGCCAGATGATTATAATCAGCAGAGGGGAACCAGTACACAAGTAGACACGAGGCGGAAATTTTGAATTTTGGTTGATATACATTCAAACAAAATAAGTATTGTATTAAGAATATAAGAGAAAGAAAGAGTTTTGGTTACACACCCACACCCACACACACACACAGCAGACAGTTACAAACAGGGCTGCATTTAGATAAGCAGCCAACCTGTGGGGGCCCATACTTCAAAATTAAATTATCAGATTAATGATTACTGTACAAAGTTTACTGTACCCACTGGTATCTTTTGTTTTTTAGCCTATCAATATGTCCAGCATTAAAAACAAATAAAATACTTACCTATTACTCCATTAATCACATATACTGTACTGGTTTAAGTAATTTGTTATAATTTCTCCACTATCTACTTATGGTTCTGTGGGGGCCCTGATCACACAACACAAAGCTAATCAAAGACAATAAGATAAAAGTGGACCATCCCACAGGAATTAACAAGTATGCAAAAATGCTGGAAAGGGGAACGATAAGTAACACCAGTAGTGTGAGTAGACCACATGCATCTACTGTGCATAGTGTGGGTGTTAGCACAGTACTGTACTACAATGTAAGAAAAATGTAAACTCTACAGTAATGGAAACCTACATACAATCCATGATAAATTCTAAATTAGGTTTTTCTCAAAAAAACATGATAATTTTAATACCCTGTTCTAACAGAATACCCAAGATAAAAAGATCAGCTGCTGCTCTACACTTGATGTATGTTTCCTACACTCTTCTGTGATGTGTTTATCTGGTGATCAGTGATGATACAACCAGGTTTTGTCTTTGCTCTACAGGTACGCCTTTCATATCAAACAATAAATCCTATTTTGACATCACCATGTTTCATAGTTATCCTTTGTTGCTTCCCTTTACCAGTCAGTATCACACAACAAATCCTCTTAGTTTGCATGATAATGTGCCAAAGACCATACAATTTTATACATAGTATTGCAGTAAGAGAGACATAAGGACATTATCATGCACTTGTAACTACAGCACTGACGGCGAGGTTTGCGTCACTAAATCCTAACAGTTCCTAGACCTCCTCCCACTGGCTCAAAGCAAGCATAGCCAACAACCCCTTGCATCATGCAAAGCCAACAAATGTTCATAAAGAACTTTTCATTGATCCTGCAGCTTTATCAAATCGAAAAATCTAAACTTGCATATCAGACGGGAATCTATATATCATAACTGACTAACTTTTCCTACTTTATACTGATTTTATTGGTGACAAGATTTCCAATGTTGGGTACAGTAGTATAGGCAGCATAGCTAACATAATTCATGACAACTGTAACAGCTAGAAGGAAGAAAAACTCCACACTCACATAATCCTTTGACTCTATGTTTTACAAAATCCTAAACTCAAGATACACCACTTAATTTACACCTTCCCTTTTGGTAAAATCAGCGAGAAAGTCAGGAATTCTTATAATGCGTGTAGATAGTAGTCATAGCTTCTTGCAGACACAAACAATAAGCTGGTTACAGTCACACCACACCAGCTACCATCAGCACAAGGACATAATCATCCAAACACCACCAACCAACTTACACTCACACACATCTTGGTTGTAAACATATCTTACCTGTCTTCACTTTGGGCATTAGGATTTGAGTGCGGGTCCCTGGAAGGAAGAGTTGGCAGTTGTTCATACTAGTTGTAGTTTAATTGTGTTCACGACCAATTTTCACCTCTAAGGTTCCAATTCATTTGTTTACATTGCTCTAAAATGCTTCGTCTTTTCTTTCAAATTGCTTTACGGAAATAATTTAATGTGAGCATGCATGCATACCGTAATTTGTAATGCAAAAAAAATCTTAAACATCTTAAACATGAATTAGTAACACAATAACATTACTGAATACTGTTATGCTAAACATGCATTTCATATTAGTACACATAATGGTAGGTAATCATTTAAACAGAATTAGAAAAAGGTGAGCTTCTAGTGACAGCACAAGAACAATGATAATCAAAGCAGTTCAATCAGATTAAACTATCACAATTAAATTTTCTGAAGCTGTGTAAATATATTTTAAATGTGTTTGCAGTTTTCTGAGTATGCAAGACAATGGATTAATAATTAAACATATGCAGTACTGTACATGCATAAATATATACAATATGTGAGAAAAAACAATACACTTTCCTTTGTAAGATTATGAGGATGAAATGCACATACTACTGTACTGTAACAGAATGCACAAATGGTAATGTAAATAATTTTTGCCACTAAATAATCAAAAGAAATAAATGGAGAACAAAATAAGTTCAAATCTAATATTAAGAAGAAATCATTATACAATACTGTACTGTATCTACTGATGTAAAAAAAAACAATTAATTCATAACAATAGATGCTAGTACATAAAAATTAATCTATGGTGAGAGGCTGAAGTCAAAACACTTATATCTAAATACTGTATAAATAATATATAACTACAGTATTATCCCGCTTTACACGGTTTCACTTCCGCGATTTCTCATTTACGCGGTACCTTGCAGAGAACCGGCGCGGTGCATCCACTCATATACAGTACACAGTGAAGTATAATTTCTTTTCTTTTTTTTTATTTAGCTCATAAAATTCATACAAATTACCCTGCCAGAATATAATTTACATTGCTGGAATTCTTACAATATGATGATCATTTTGAATATAAACATCATGGATTTTGCATTAGACATACAAATTTTAGATCTAATGTAATAATTTGGTTTACACAGAGCAAATATTTTATCGTTTGTGCAAAATATATGAAGTTTACATTCAAAATATTCCCTGACCTGCAAGGAATCCAGAAATGTCAATTATATTATCCTAACTTTAGTCTGAGGTATTATTTATTCCTGAAAGTTAAAATCTAGTGGTTTCACCCAAACATTTCTCAGAGAGGTAGGAGCTAGTAAGCTGGGAAGAGGGGGGGGGGGATTTGAGTCCATTATTTGAATGGACATTAACCTGGCGACTGTATTTCTCTTAAATATTAATTGTGTGAGCATACCATCATAAAATTTAGATGTTATTTTTACTACAACATAGGTATTGTGTCGGAAAAAGTGGAGTTTGGGGGTCGGGCCAGTCTCTATTGGAATTAATCCCATATGTTATGTTGTTCACTTTACGCGGTTTTCACTTTCCGCGGTACCCTGTGGGTTCAATTGATCGCCGTAAATCGGGGTACTACTGTACAGTTAATCTATGCTCCTAATTCTAGTAAAGATACTAAATAAAGCATTTTAAAATTCTTCAACACATTCCATGATGTAAAATGATGTGAAAAATTAAATAGCCGAGGCTCGTAAGTTCAGTCCAACAATGTGTAGAGCACTGTACCTGCTGACATCCTCCAACTTCCGTAAAAGTCGCTCGTTCTCTTTACACACAAGTTCTTGGTCCCTCACCAATGCTGTTGTTACTCTCTGTATGAAGAAATAAGACATATAACTTCAGAGTACCTGTACTGTACAGTACATGTGTAATCATTGATGCAAAAGTCTTATATACATAAGAACAAAAGAATAAAGGACACTGCAGCAGACCTACTGTACTAGGCAGCCCTTTTTACACCCAGTACATATCACTAACATAACTATGATCAGGTTTGTTACAGTTATTTGTTCCACTCACTCAAAGCTATTTCCAAGCCATTGTTTAGCTAATTTGTTTAAATTTTAATTTATTTTATTTAAAACCATTGCTATGTGTATGCTCCCTATTTGTTAGATTAAATACCTTAGTTATACCTGAAGAGTATCATCTTTATTTAAACCTGACTTCTATTCATACACTTTGATCATATGGCCCCTCACTCTTCAGAGAATACACATCAGTTTTCTTGATCTCTCTTCATACTCAAGGTTCCTAATACCTGGGATTAACTTTGTCATTCTCGTCTGATTAAACACTTCAAACCCCTTAGAAACATCTTCCCTATCTAATTAACCTACCTGCAATATAATAAGCCTGGCTCCACCAAACCCATTTCCAACTGAAAACCACACACAGTATACTCCTTATCCCTCAACCATATAGTACTGCAATACCAGAAAGCACACCTGTAGTTCCTTATTCTCCTTCCGTACATTCTCGTGCTCTGCCATGTAGTGCTGAACAAGTTTTATCAGCTCCCGATTGTCCAGATTTTCCAGCTTCTCATCATCTATCCTAAACGACCCTTGGCGGGACATCGGTGGTGGTACTGCCGACAAGAACTCTGAGTCAGGATAGTATCCAGGGGTCAAGGTCACAAAAGTACAGTACCTGTACATCATTAACTAGAACTTGTTTCAATCTTTTCCTTTTCTATGAAAGAAAGATAAAGTTATGGCATTTTCATATCTCAACTTATTCGTCATAGTAGGGTCTGTGCCTAATAAATTGTCATAGAAGAATGCAAGTTACTAGTGGATAAATTACTAAAACAATGATAAAATACCTACCTTCTGAAAAAATACTCTGGTGAAGTGTCTACCTTACAGTATACCTAAATATATATAATAAAACTCGAGATGATGTAGCAACAGATATATTCGAAGAGAACTAAAATAACTTCCCTGACTGACAGCTGGGCAACACCACCTCTTCTTCTCATTTGATTTCCTGGCTGTCAACACCTGGGTCATCACGGTTAAAGCAATAAATACCAAGTTGAACTAAACGGCAGTGAATGTGTATTTAAATGAATACTTTAATTTTGCTTTAATGAAAAATTATACCTCTAATGTACTTATCAAGCTTATTTTATATATACCCCGTACCCTAAATTTAAACATGGATTTTATAACACCGATTTTGACTCCCAATGTATCGATTTGTGACTGACACCGTTTTTGACTTGATACTGTACCCGATTTTGACCATCTTTTTCTCCCCCCTCTTCTCATTTTCATTTCTTCATTTGCTACCTTCCTCCCTTACAGTTATATACCATGCACCTGGTGAACGTAGAAAGCCCGGGTTTGCCAGTTGAAACAGAAACCCGGTTGGATGTGGCACCTGTGGCCTGATGAAATATCCCATCTATGTCTTTTACCAAGGCTGTGTGGATATGTCCTTATATTAACTCTTTTTGGGGTTAACATTCCAACCTGCACTTGTCAAATATAAGTCAAGTTGTAGCAGACAGTACCTCGAATCCCACCTGCGTCAGAGACTAGTTCTGCTGTATCAATCCCGTTCATCACAGGCAAGAGTTGACCGTTCACAACAGTCTGACCATTCTGAGGAAGCCCTGAAATAAAATTAAATCACAAGAATGAAAAAACAAAACACTCTCAGCCTCTTAAGATGTCCCCACACACAACGCTTCCGTGACGCCTGCTGGACCACCACTCCACGACCCCTGACGGAGACACGATGATCCAACCCATACTGGCCAGATATTTTGAAAATAACATTGATTATGTGTTAAAGGAATAACCTTCCTTCCTTAGGCTTTAGTGAGACCCTTTATAATATTTATACTGCATATATTTGTCACACCTGCCAGATGCTTCTGGTGTCATTGTACAGGGGTACCTAGTGACAGTGTAGTGGATTTCTCCCCTACAAACGCTGTTTGTCGCTGAGTAGTCGACCCCACCAATTCCCCAGTGTATGCCTCGTGGTCTAGGTCAACCAGCGCCGCCATACATCACGGAGCGGGGGTCAACTACTAAGCCACGCCTACCCCCCGCTATTTAAGACCTGACCTCGTGGTGACCTGACTCTTTCTACCTACACCAACCAGCCAGCAACACCTCCTCCTCCTCCTCCTCCTCCGCCTGCCTCCCGCCGGCGAGCATGGCGACCCACAAGCTGTCCTTCTCTGAGCGTCCTCACCAACCAGCTCTCTCTACATCACGCTTGTAACCATGCTGCCTTCCCAGCACCAAGCTGCACTGTACATCCAATACAACATGTATATAGAGAGCACATTGTGAGTTTCCTTTCTCCATCCCATCCTGAGTGTGAACACAAACAATCCTGAACTCCACAACAGCACTAGGATCCCGCTTCCTCTATCAAGGAATAAACAATTGAAATTGAACACTCTCAGCATGTTGTCAGGATGGTTGTGCTAAAACAGGCATGAAGCATAATAAAAAATAAAAACATTCCATTATAAGTTGATAATTTAAATGAACATCAGCTTACAGGATCAAAAGAAGGTGAATGCAACAATGTCAAGTTAGCAATTCTAGGTTTTAAACAATTTATTTTACTGTACTGTACGAGTGTATTTCAATAGTATGTAATCAAAATTAATTACCAACCACAGCAAAACCCTGCATTGACCACAGCAATATCCTGCACCAACCATAAAACAAATGAAGTCTCACCATTCTCGCCCAAGTCTATGAGCATCTTGAGGTGGGCATTCTCCTCCCTCAGTAGGCTCACCTCTCGCTGGAGACTCATAATGACCTTCTCCTTGGGGTCCTGAACAACCATGAGAGAGAACGTCATTAATGCCACATCTTTCCTAACAACTTCTACACCTTTTCTATAACAACACTATTATTTGGTCACTGTCGCAAGTGTTTGACGATTTACTGGTTTCTGTGCACCTCTATTTATTTGTCTATGTCAATTTATATTTGTTGATTTAGATGCGTTCATATATGTGGGCATCTCCCTGTGTGTGTATGTGTGTGTGTGTGTGTGTGTGTGTAAACGGAAATCTACATCTACACCGGAAGTATTATTAAATCTAGGACTATTGTACAAACCATGACTATGATGGGCTTGGTGCGGATACGCTTGGCTCTGGTGGCATAGCGCAGTGTGTTGATGGTCTCGCTGATGTTGGACTTGGCGGGTGATACACACGCGATCTGTGGCACAACAAGCCATGATTATCACACTCATTATCAAACCACTTTAAAGTTCTTTATGGCATCTTAAAACACACGTATAATCTAATAACTTAAGTGACTCACCATGAGCGTCACACCGTTGCCTGCCAAGCTGTCTGCGAGGAGTTTGGTCAACTTGGAGTCCCGATAGGGTATGTGGCCATCCCTCTTGCGGTTGTCTGACAGTGCCGCGATACACGTTCCTGTAGAAGGGAGTTTATCTTATAATGACCAGATGTCCTTCTAGCACCGACTGTATACACCCACTCCTCCACATACATACAACCTGAGCTCCACATACATACAACCTGAGCTCCACATACATACAACCTGAGCTCCACATACAGTAATTATATTTTCCTCCAGAGGTTCGCTAACAGAAGATAACTGTGTAGAAAGTCTGCGAGAAGCAAGACGAAACCAGTTATAAAAGTGAATAGCCTGCTGGGTTAAGGAAAGGCTGGCTGTTGTGAGGGACGATGGGAGAGTGACGAGGGCAAGGGAAAATTGGGGTAGTGGAGAAAAATAGGAACAGGAGGAAAGGAAAAAAAAGAGAGGGGCAAGGGAGTGAAAGAGGACAAGGGAGGGGGAGAGAGGGCAAGGGAGGGCAAGGGAGTGAAAGAGAAGACAAGGGATGGAATGAAAAAGGGGGCAACGGAGGGAGTAAGAGTGGGGAGCAAGGGAGGGAATAAGAAAGAGTGCGAGAAAGAGAGTGAGAGAAGGGGACAAGCGAGGGAGAGAAGAGGCAAGGGAGGGGAGGCAAAGGAAGGAGAGAGGGGAGGCAAAGGAAGGAGAGAGGGGAGGCAAGGGAGGGAGAGAGGGGGGGGGCAAGGGAGGAAGAATGGGACACGTGGAGCTGGGCTGAAGAGAAGGGAAGCAAGAGGAGAGGAGAAACAAGGGGATATGGGAGACTGGCGAGGGTAAGGCCAGGGTGGAAGATGATGGAAGGAGTAGGGAGGGAGGGAGTAATACAATGATACACGATGAACTTCCTCCCTCTCCCTGCACCACAAACACAACATAACACTACAATATTCTGCTTTATATAAACACATCATGAAAGGTGAAGGCCGCGTATTAAAATTCCACTGAGTAAATTACTATAATTTACACACTAAATATAAATGGATTTATTTTTACTCCTGGAGAATAAAGAACCTCGGTATTCTCGTCACAAAATTATTAATAAAAGCAGCATTTTCATTACGTATGAGTTTAACACAGTATCGAGAGCAGAGCATTGTACACAGTAGTCATATTACGATAAATAATACTCAATTTCTAGTTTAAAATTCATCGTCAGTAGATTATTTCAGCGCCATCAATGGAATTACATATAATTTAGCAGATCCTTTATATGAGCGAATATTATTTTGATATAAACTAGTTCCTACACAAACTATCGTAACAACATACGTCTAATAAAAATCACTATAAATATGAACAACGGGGAGGTAAGAATGGAGGGAATACTTTTAATAAGACCACAGGTAAAATTAAATTACATGTAGGGAGGTGGAAAGGCGCATGTTGTGTGGGTAACCTAGCAACCACTATCTCTCCTGTCATCACAACACGAGGTGGATACATTTTTTTTTATAAATTCTTTTCCCTGATAAACTTTCCTCAGCTGCATCATTTGGCTCTCTATATTATCTTCATCACTATCATAATTATTAGTCAAATCAAAATAACACATAGAAGATATTAACAATAATCTAATTCATACACTCCACTTCGAAATAGTTACTAACAAAAAATAAATTATAAGCGCCAGTAACAAACGGCGCCAACCAAATACGTTCAATAAAATAAGACCAATAAAACATAACAAAGTCAACATAAAATAATAAAAGCTTAACACCGCCCCGTCAGCACCGGATTATCAAAGCCTAGTTGAGTTTCCCCAGCCACTAATCACCCTTCTCTTTATGGTAGTGATCCAGTCAATTTCTTTTTCTCGGGGTTCACTTCTCAAATATTCCTAAGTTCAATTTAATCTTCTATTTGGGGATGTGAAATAGCCAAGGAGGATGACGAGAGGATAAAGAAGATTAGGAGAAGAGGAAGACAAGAAGAGAATGAAGGGGTGGAGACAAAAAAAGGAAGATGAGAAAATAAGGAGGGCGGGAGGGGAATAAGACGGAGCCAGTGAATAAGGAAGATGAGAGGAGGACTGAGGGGATTGGATAAGTCTTATAATTAACGCCTCAAAAAAAATATATAAAAAAAAGTAAAAAAATACTGAAAAGCAGCACAGAGTTGGGGGTGGAATGGGTGTGGTGTGTGTGTATTGATCTAAACACAAAGCTCAATACATACGGAAGGAAGATATGTTTAACTACTTCACTATATATATTAATGTTTAACAGAATGGATGCGTTTATTATTAGTATTAAAATAAGTTAATAAATACTTAACGTATAAATTGTAGCTAGCAATATACGTGACTACAGTAATGGACAGTGGGTATAAAGTTGATTTTGTTTACTTTATATAAATGGTGGCCTTGACAACGACACGGACTATCGGTACAACTTACTGGCTACATGCAGCCTGTTTGTGCCAGCTTACTCTATTGGGAATCTTTACTGAAAACTTCCCTCATTTTTTTTTAATATTTAATATCTTTCCTCGTCCAATTGCTATTCCTGTCTAATATTTACCCAGCAATTCCCCCATCCCCGTCGCTAACTTTTTAGCCTGTCTCTTCAACTTTTATGAATATTCTATCTACTTACCGTTATTTTTCGTCTTTAAAAACGTTCCAATAATATAAAAAAATCCCTCAGTGCCCGTCAATTATTATTTTTTACCTACAGTCATATGTCAGTTGATTATTCCATATATTCTTTCACGAAACACATTTAATAAAAGGCTCCAGTAGCCCAGCTGAATACAGTACCTCTCAACGTAACCTTGGTGCTGTAGTACCTGACCATAATGAGGTAAGAGAGGTAGACGTCCAGGTAAGTTTGTGTACCAGCCCATCATACACAGACAAGATAACAGTTGACGAGCGGGTCGATGTGTTTACCTTATCGAGCTTCATCAACAGTCACTCATCTGAGGTGTTTGTTCACCCTCTTATCCACAACACAACACTACGCTACCTAAACACACAACAGTATTTGACAACCTCTTATATTTTGGGTTATTTCATTCAGCGTTTACAGAAGCCCGAGTTAAAATGTCAACACGTACTAGTTTATGTTCTATCCATCACAACACCACCAATAGTATATGCATTATAGATGAAGAAGTGTTATCATCCAGGAATGTAAGCGTTCAAATGTTTTATCTAGTGACCATGTATGACCACGATTATATGTTACAGTATAATTAATCACGATATATAATACAAATCAATTATTTTCAACCTGGCATGTATTATATATCGTTGGTATGCGGGGAGATCGTTATGATGCAATGGACACAGATGGCGTGCACGAAATTTCTAACGCATGGACGATAGATCCCAGGTATGCATGGTATACTTCAACTACACTTAAGCCCAGTATATCGCTAATCACACACACACACACAAAACAGGCCCAACCGACATCACGTAACTCACCGAGCACCATGAGTGACTTGTTAATGTTGTTGGCCTCCTCGAGCGTCTTGCCTTCAGAGTTGGTCTTCTTGGTCATCTCAGAGCCCGCCAGGTCCACGAAGTTGATCTTGCCGTTTCTAGTCAGGTTCACCCCATCGTCAGCCTGTCTCACACCAATGGAGGGGGGAGGGGGTTACACAGTACTATATGAGGCTATACTAGGAATATACCAGGTTATATCAGTTACAGTAAAGTTATACAAGTATCATACTGACTCTAGATATGTGACAGTGACCCGAGGTACGTGACACTGACCTGGGGAGTACATGGCGACACTGACCTTCTGCTCAGAGGTTATGTTGACAGTGAGGATGGTGTGGCTACGGGAGGAGTACTCGTTCATGTTGTGTGACGCCACCGCCCTGTTCCTCAAGCCTGCAGGTAAACACAGGCTCTTAGTTCCCTCCTCCTTCAACAGTATTTTCAGTCATTCTTATCTTTTGCCGTATTCTCTTTTCCTTCCTTCATATACACCCAAGATCTCTTCCTTCCTCTCTTCTTTCTAACTTTCTCCTTCCCTCCCTCTCCTCCTTCCTAGCTTTCTACCTCCCTCCTTTCTCAACTTCCTTCCTTCCTTCCTCCCTCCTTAACCTCCCACTCGACCTTACGTCCCCCCCTTGACCTCCCACGACCTCATACCTTCCTCGAGGACCGCCAACAGGTCGTCCAGCTCGGCACACTCGATCTCAAAGAGGTTCTCAACGAAGAATCCTCTCTTCTTCTTGCTCCAGCGCACCTGCAGTGGCTTGGTGTTGGTTCCAATATTGAGCAGATCAATCACCTGGTGGGGAGGAGGGAGAGATTACGTTCAATTAGTGTAGACAAAAAGTTACGTGGTTATTATTGTTATCACGGTATACATATATATATATATATTCATTGGTGCTTTTTTATATTAATTATAGTGTATACAATTATTCATATGGGGTTTTTACCTGAGTTTATGGTATTAAAACTATTATTAATGGAGGTATAGAGGGAGCCACATGCTAAGAGGTTAATCTCACGAGGTTAAAGGGGAGTTGGCCCATAATCTCACATGAAGGACGATGCACCAGCACACGGGTTAAGTACACAGCCCTGGGGGTAATTGTCGACAAGATTGAGGTCAAGTATGTGTTGGCTGAGGCGGGTTATACACGACACCACCCACACGGAATGGTCAGGTCTTGTGTACGTGAGAGAGAGGGGGGACTAGCGTCGGTGGGGCAGGTGTCCGGGGAGGGGCAGGTGTTGGGGGAGGGGCAGGTGTTGGGGGGGAGGGGCAGGTGTCGGGGAGGAAGGGGCAGGTGTCGGAGAAGAAGGGGCAGGTGTCGTAGAGGAAGGGGCAGGTGTCAGGAAGGTGTTACCAGGTATCAGCGAGGGGAACCAGGTGTCAGGAAAGGGAACCAGGTGTCAGGAAAGGGAACCAGGTGTCAGGACCGTGAGCGAGTACCACCTCACTCCTCACACTAACACGGGGGAGGAATTCGTGGATCGATGAGGTGGTGGTAGAAGTGTCTAGCAGGTGCTGGTATATACTGCTTACATGAGGTTGTGGTGGGCGGGAGGGGAGTGAGGAGTGGGAGAAGGTAAGGGAGTGTGACAGGGCAGGGGGATGTGGGAGAAGGGAGTGGGAGGGGAGTGTGTGAAAGGAGGGGAGTGTGAGAGGAGAGTGGGGGTTGGGGAGGGGAGAGGGGAGAAAAGAGGGTCGACTGGTCCCGGTGAAAATAGTACAAGATTTGACGTTTTAGGAGTCACGCGAATGCGAAAATTCTCCAGGGAGTCGCAACACTGGCGGGTCAAGGAGGGGGTAGCAGGGGAATCAGGGGGTACCAGGGGGAATCAGGGGGTAACAGGGGGACGTGTGACCTAATCCTTCCCCCTAATTATCTCGACCATCTCTCTGATGAAGTAATTCTATTAATACGTGTCCTCTTGGGTGTAAATACAATCCTCACGTTAAACACTGAATTCTACTTTCGTCCTGGCCAAACAATAAAGTTTTACTCGTCTGAAGAATTTTACCTGTTGACGTAATTACAAGTCTTTTTTAGTCTCTTGTGTGTGTGTGTGTGTGTGTGCTCGTCCTCTAACCCCCTCCTCATTCCCTGCCTCTCCTCCTCCCTACACCTTCTTTCCTCACCTTCTCGTTGTAGATCTCGAGGTAGGAGGCGGTGAGGGTGAACTCCTGGTCGTCGCGGTTCTGCAGTTGGTTAAACAGGTAGACGAAAGACCTGAAGATGAGGCCGTGGCTCTCTGAGAACATGTCTGGCCCCTTGTCGAACTGCGAGGAGGGGGGGAGAGGGGTGGTGAGAGTGAAGGTGTGGTGAAGGTGTGGTGATGGTGAAGGTGTGGTGATGGTGAAGGTGTGGTGATGGTGAAGGTGGGGATGGTCATAATGGTCTTGGGGGATTGTGTGGGGAGGTGTAGGTGAAATTAGGGATGGTGCTATGTGTGTGATGGTGAAAGGGGGGCTAGGTGTGTGTGATGATGAGGGAGTGGATACGTATAATGATGGGGGTGATGGGGGTGAAGGTGATGGTGAGGGGAGGTAATGGTGAGGAAGGGACCATGGATGACAGTGATAGTGAACGGATCATGGTATAGTGAGAGAAGGATCATGAGAGCTAAATACAGTGAAGGAGAGTGAACCAACTAGCAGCTAATGAAGTACCACCATTCCTGTTACTCTCACTGGTCGCTTAGTATCCGAATCAAACCTAAACAAATTCTTGATATCCAGGAAATTTAATAAGAAAAAAAAACTCACATAAAATATAAAATAAATTAACCTTAATCAGCGACTTAGATGATTAAATAAACTCTTGGTTGAAAATAATACCCTCAGTTGTTTCCCCGGGTTAAAATAATAAGAAGACTGGTACATCGTGAATACAGTAGGCCAGTTAATATAACACACTGGGTGAGTATACTGATGATCTCTCTGTTAAACACTGCTAGAGCTCTCTGTCTGTCTGTCTGTCTCTTAGTCTTGTACTGGTTTGGTTAAGAAGTGTTTAGATTCACCTATACACGTGTTGTTAAAGGCTAAAGTAACATGTTAACTATAGTATAAATTAATACGCCTTTCGATCCACCAGTCTAGTCATTTACGATTTTCTTTCTCCTTAATGTAGCTTAATTACTTAAAACTGATGGTTCGTGTCCGCTAAAATAGGGTTACCACTAGCATGGCCCCTATACTGACACCCCCGCCCTTAAGATGGTGGTGAGGGAGATAGGTAGTGGTGGTGAAGGAGGGTGGTGGTGAAGGAGGGTGGTGGTGAAGGAGGATGGTGGTGGTGGTGAGGGAGGATGGTAATGGTGGTGGAGGGTGGTGGTGGTGGTGAGGGAGGGTGGCGATGGTGGTGAGGGAGGATGGTAATGGTGGTGAGGGAGGATGGTAATGGTGGTGGAGGGTGGTGATGGTGGTGAGAATGACCACATGTGAATTTTTATAATAATAATGAAATTAATGATGATGATAATAATAATAATAATAATAATAATGATGAAAACAATGAATCACCACTGCGTCAAAATTAAATACATATAATTATCTTCAAGTAAGCTATACTCAGCTAACAAGCGGACCAGACGCTAAAAATATCAAATACTTACACATGCATTATTCACTACTAGACGAGATAGCTGGCGGTAAGCAAAAATGTCAGCTATGTGTGTCAGCTATGAGTGTCAGCTATGAGTGTCAGCTATGTGTTTCAGCTTTGAATGTCAGCTATGTGTGTCAGCCGTAAAGAGTCAGGTGTAAAGTGTCAGCTATGAGTGTCAACTATGAGTGTCAGCTGTAAAGCATCAGCTATAGTGTCAGTTGTAAAGTGTAAGATATGTGTCAGCTAAAAGCATCACCTACAGTGTCAGCTAAAAGCATCACCTACAGTGTCAGCTCTAAGTGTCAGCTATAAAGCAAATACGATTGAGTCAACCGAACGCTAAACTTCATAGCTGAGAAAATTATTGTATGGTACATGAGCAAATATAGCTTTAAAGATAAGACAACTAGAGCTTGCAAAAGAGCTATAATTATAACTGGTTTAAATATAAGAGATACAAATAGCTTACATAAGAAAGAAATATTGAAGTATAGCTGGGGTCGAGAGATTAATCTATAGCTGAGAAATTATTACATATCATAGCTTGAGACGAGGTTAGATATTTAGCTTTGAGAGTCGAGCGATAGAAAAATAGTTTCAGTCGAGCGATAGCGATAGAAATATACCTTTAGTTACGAAAGAGACGTTTAGCTTACGAGTCGAGATACGATCATAGCTGTAAGTCGAAAGCTAAGTATTTAAAAGAACATCACGAACCATTGACAACTAACAGTCGAACCAAACTCTTAAAAGTTAAACAAATAAAAATAATTGACCTTTCGTGTACTCAATCTGACCTTTCGTGTACTCAATTAGACTTTTCGTGTACTAATCTCACATCCATTCGTGTACTAAATTATATCCTTTCGTGTACTCAATTAGACTTTTCGTGGGTTACAATTATCCATTCGTGTACTAAATCTCATCCATTCGTGTACTAAATTTTATCCTTTCGTGTACTCAATTAGACTTTTCGTGGGTTACAATTATCCATTCGTGTACTAAATCTCATCCATTCGTGTACTAAATTATATCCTTTCGTGTACTCAATTAGACTTTTCGTGGGTTACAATTATCCATTCGTGTACTAATCAATACCTTACGAATCTTTTGCCTGGACGTAATGAACTGGTTTCAGAGAGGTCAACGCCTTCTCTTGCCAGCTGACGTAAACAAGGGTTATATTGTGGTTATGTAGGTCGTGTGTGTGGGTGGGTGTTGTGTACAGGTGTGTGTGTGTGTGTGTGGGTGTACAGGAGTGCGTCTTGTGTACAGAGGTGTGTGTGTGTGTGTGTGTCATTCTTCCCCTCTCTCTCTCTCTCTCTCTCTCTCTCTCTCTCTCACACACGTGACTCACTGCTCCAAAAGGCCACACCTGGTAATGTATCTCCCACAATTTAACCCCCCCCCCTTGTGTTTCTTCCTTACCTCAGACACACACAGACAGACACAGGCGGTACTGAAAGACAGACACAGACAGACACACGTACATACTGACACACACACACACACACACACACACACAAAATACACAATAAACAAAACAATGAATAGTAACAAAAACAAGTTATATTCAGGTGTGGTGTAGGTGTATCATTACATGTGTGGTGTAGGTGTGGAGTGTGTCATTACAGGTGTGGAGTGTATCATTACAGGTGTGGTGTAGTTGTGGAGTATATCATTACAGGTGTGGTACAGATGTAGGGTGCATCATTACAGGTGTGGTGTAGAGTGTCATTACAGTTGTGTAGTGTTTCATTACAGGTGTGTTGTAGGTGTGGGGTGTGTCATTACAGGTGTGTAGTGTTTCATTAAAGGTGTGGTGTAAATATGGGGTGTGTCATTACAGGTGTGGTGTAGTTGCAAGCAGCCACCACCACCACTCTTATCAATAATAAATTACTGCCCTGCCAGGTATGCTACCAAAGGTCGTTCCGCTGTTGTTTGGGGGTGGTTAGTGGTGGTGGGGGTAGTTAGTGGTGGTGGTGGTGGTGGTCGGGGCGGTGGTAGGGGTGAAACAGAGGGACTAACTGCACGTAACTATACCAATAGTATCCATCGATCTAAGTTAATCTAAGTTATCTAAGCTCATTATTCCCCCGCCAGGTGACACTGCGCTCGTTCATCTTTGGCCAACATTCAGCAGTCGTTGATAATGAAGAAATATACAACTAGGAATTGATTAACAAAAAGGAGAGTAAAGCAGAATGGATAAAGAGGAAATGATACAATATAATAACGTGAAAGTAAGTGAAAAGTGGGTTAAAACTGAACACTGCGTCCCATAGTCTGGTACAGCACGTCAAGTTGCCTCCTGGCTGATGAGGTAGAATAATAACAGCGACTGAAATGGTTTCGATATCAACAACAAAAAATCTATATCACAGCTTTACAGACGCGCTGTTCTATACCTAATTATAGGGTTACAATAAACACACTTGAGTATCCACGTCTTGGAGGCTGGAGGCGACAGAGACAAAACAAGTGACCAAACTGTTCTATCTCAGTCTTTAAATTCAACTATCACCAACATAACGATACAAGAACCTATCAATTCTTCAGAAACTCTTAAATGCATAAGTTGTTTTATACGTGAAAGCAGAAACAAGACTACATAAATAAACTACACTACACACTTTAATAATCTATGTTTATCTACTAAATACGAAAAAAATCACAAATGTGTAATTTATCATGCCACTTGCATCACACGAACACCAAAAACAATATTACTGTAGTCATTTGCTGTGTTGTTTTAATTAATCCCTTGAGTACGACGACTTGACCCTCTGAGTACCATGGCATTGTACTCAAGGGAACAGGCCATGTTATTCTAGGGGTTAAGTCATCGTACTCGTGATTAATCATTGTACTTACAAGGTTAAGTTATCGTACTCAAGTAATTAATCATTGTACTGTTGGATTAAGTTATCGTACTCAAGTAATTAATCATTGTACTGTTGGATTAAGTTATCGTACTCAAGTAATTAATCATTGTACTGTTGGATTAAGTTATCGTACTCAAGTAATTAATCATTGTACTGTAGGATTAAGTTATCATCAAGGGGTAAATATATAATTAATAGATATGATTAATTGTACTCAGGAATAGACATCGTAATGAAGGGATCACGGAATACACTAACAAGAGGAGGTAAACACTACAAGATCACCAAACACCCCAAAGCCTCGACACAAGAAGCTACTACACATGCACACCTCGTTAGTGTCTTGACCAGAAAAAGAGAGAAAACTTCCAAGGTAAAATTGAACGCGGTGATATAGGTTAAAAAAAAATTATTTAAATAATCTTTGATGTGAACTTTCAAACGTCAACTGTAATTGTGATAAAGCAAGAGAATAAAAGTTAATTAATTTGAGGTTTAATATTCAGATTTTAAATACAAATGGTGTTAAAAGTTTATATCTACAATGGTGTTAGAAATTTAATGTGATTTTTTTTTATGAGTAAAGTTGTTTTTATCATAGAAGTTTAATATAATAGAATCTAATAATGGCGCCTAAAGCTGAAAAGTAATGTAGTTTGGTGTTGAGAGTTTAATGTACTGTATGTGTATATTAAATGGTTCAAGTTGTGTGTGTGTGTGTGTGTGTGTGTTGTGTTGGCCCGCGGAACCAAGCCTTCAAACTTGCGGAAGAAGCACACTAGGCACAAGAGAGGAGGGAGGGAGATAGATAAATAAATAAATTAGCATTCAGCATCGTATCGTAAATGGATCACTCACCGAGAAGAAACTTGGCCTGGGAGCTGTTTTGGAGTTTCTGGCTCTGGGAGTGGGAGTGTAGTACTAACGCACGACCAACACGCAAGCGGCGCCACGGGGAGATAGTAAATACAGTACAAGGAGGTTTTACCTAGATACATTCACACTTTTTCTTACATTATAGAAGAAATGCAATATCATTCTTCAGTTATTAGTATTTATATTATTAGATCTGGCTTAGACTATTGTATTGGAATAAAAGATACATAATTTATATTATGAATTAGAACCTTTAGGACTGTCAGTTTTTGTTCGTTCACTGTTGTAATTCACGATCATAGATGTTTTTTTTTTGCAGTTTCAGGACAGCCAATACTAATTTATTTTCGCTTCAGCAACTTTTACACGAAACTAAATGAATATCTAAAAGTATTCGCTCCTCTTTGAAGGGTTAAGTACTATTAAATTCGTAGTCCTTCATTTCTTCTACTAGGTTCAGGCAAAAACGTGAGACATGCAACACTTGACAACTCTCTCATTGTTGCGTTGAATTGATATAACTTTCTGAGTTCTTAAGAGACTTTATTAGCTAGATAACTTAAGAGTCCCGGCACAGTACAGCACACCATGATGTCACACCATCAACCAGTTTGTTCTGCCGCGCCATGACGTTACAGTGTCTTATTCACACCAACACACACACACACACACCAACACACACACACACAGACACACACACACACACACACACACACACCGCCTGTTGTCTTCTGACGTCAATACGAAAATCAATCGCCTGCGTTTTTTAATGTCAATACCTAGACAATACCGTCATAGTTGGACATCAAGTTACGACTGTATATTGTATGTTGTATTACATTTATTCCCGAATTAAGTACTTGTTGTATATACGAGTACTTTAACGACTGTACCTATGCCAATTACCATTTGGTTTACGTGCTATAGCTACCTACCAGAAAACAAAATTACATAACGGTAAGTACTTTTAGGTTAAGTGCATATTGTAATGGGAAAACT